CTCCTGGGCCGTGCGCAAAAGCTCCTGGGCCGTGCGCAAAAGCTCCTGGGCCGTGCGCAAAAGCTCCAGGGAAGAGAGCCCCGCGCTGGTACGCACATGATATATAAATGTGTCGTCGCGAACAACGCCCCCCCACCCCTGCACGCGCTCAGCGGGCCACGGTAAAATTATCAAAGGCTGACTGGTCCGCGGCGATAAAAAGGTTGGGGACCACTGGATTAGATCAAAGGCATTCACAGACACAAAACATCAAGACAAGAATGTGACAATATTTCTAGTCCAATCTGGTTAACAGTACTGTACAACTGAGTATTGTAAACATTCTGCTATCTCACTCCAAACTGACAAATGACCTTACCATGTGGAAAATCCTGTGAAGCTCCACATTGGAGTAACCATAGATATAATCGCTATTATCATATGCACACCAACGCACTTAGGAAGAAATGGAACCACTGTAAGACAGTATCTCTAAGCCACAACTCTGAGTAGGATATCATGGATGGCGATTCGGAATCCCATCCTAATGAACCCTAGCTCTCAATTTATCTTTTATAGCCCTTGGATCAATAACATTGGGTCAGTTTAATATGCAGGTTAAGTCCTTGATTTAAAACCATTTGTTTAGCCACTATTTGAAGCTACAACAGCACTGGAAAGTTATTTACAACTAGTCCTCACAACCATAGTAGCATCCTCCTGGTCTGTAGAGCCTGTAGTCTTGTTCCAAGTCTGATTTAAATAAATATGCCAAGATTGCCCTGTTCAAACTGCAGAATTTAGAGAGAGACTTTAAATGAAGGTTGTACAAGCAAAGACCTTGTAAATTATAGATAGGACAGGAGTGTATGACCTCTTTTCAGTCTATGAGCCACATTTTGCCTCTGAAAGTCAGATCCACAAAGTTAACAAGGCCTGGGTTAAACATGAAATCAGAAAAAAAAGATTATTGGAATTAAAATAGTATTTAATGATTTATTACAGTTTGGCAGCAGTTTCTAAAGAGGTTCTGCGGATTTCTAGGATAAGAAGTTGTACTCATGAGAAAGTTGGAACTTGGAATGCTCTTCTAATTGGGAAGGTGAACAAAGAAATGCCAAGACATGCAATAATCTGCTTCTTCACTTTTTCGTCTTAATTCTTTCAGCATCCTCCCTCACCTCCACTAATGCTGACTGCTTCAGGCAAATACTGAAATCCAGGATCTGACTTCAAATGTGAAGGAATTTAGAAGCCCCTACCGTCCCACCACCACCCATGACTCAGAGCTTTCTAAATGAAATAATGTTTCCCAGCTGTTGCCCAGCAATTTTGGAAAGTCAGTATCTCCTTACCCTCCGCTTTGAACAAAAACTAACTTCCAAATTACAGATGTATGATTTTGGTAGAATTTCAAGACCAATCAAATGTGAAATTAAAATTGCCCAGATTCGTTGAGTAAAAAATAAGCCCAAATGTCTGAAATTTGAAGCTGTCAAGGTACAATAAAATGATTCCAGTGTTCTTCTCTGTATCCCTGAGTCTATGGAATGGTTGCTGTATCATTATGCAAGAACACATGGAGTATAATCAAAAAAGAGGCTGAAAATCTGGGTGCATCTTATACACTGAATACAGCATTTTTGGCCTCCCGAAACCCCGACCTCTTCACCAAAATGGCCATGCATAGCCTTTAGGAGGTTTCCAGAGTGCTCCTGGGGGCTGGGGAGGGCAGAAATGAGCGAAAGATTGCATGTTTTTTGCTTAATTTTTCCCTCCCCTAGCACCCAGGAGCACTCAATAAGCCTCCTAAAGGCTATGCATGCCCCCCCCCTTTTTTTTTTACAAAAACCAGGCTTGTTTTTGTGAAAAACGGGATGTTTCTGGGAGGTTTGCAGAATGCAAAACCTTTTTTTTAATTTGCCTCTTCAAAATCTTGGTGCATCTTATACTCCGAAAAATACGGTACATCTGATGTATACAAATGGAGAATGGCAAACCATTTTTCAACCCCACTGCATGACATAATAATGTCTGTTGTGCAAGTTCCTACAACCAAGGCCCCCAAGCATCTTGTCCAGATGGATCACAGCGCGGATCTTCGTCTGGGTAGAACACAGGGACAGAGTTGTTCTGGTAGTGCCGGAGTCGCAACAGCAGTTTTTTCACAATGTCAGGATATTGTTCTGACAAATCATTTCTTTCTTCAGCATCATGAACAACATCAAACAGCCAAAGCTTCTTTGTGGATGGATCTAATGACAAAGTATCTGACTCATTGAATAAAGACGGTGGTGGAAACCAATGGCTGCAGCCTATAAAGAGAAGATGAAAGATTACCTGGGAATGTATTTGCCTCATAATTGGAATCCAACTTGTTTGCATATCTAGGTTCTTCAATTACATTGGCATGGAATTGAATTTGCCATCTAGATTTGATTCTGTTGTGGTGGTAATGGGTCAGTTCAGATCCATTAAATGAACGAGAGTATCAGGTACCATGAAGAGAAATTAAACACTAATAAAAATTAAGATTCCTGATATAACATGTATGAAAATGTGCATGTGACAAAGCCGCTTGGCTGCAGTTCATTACTTTTTGGCTTGTTTTGATATTTTCCTTTATATTTCACTATACCTCGTTCATTCTCTCTATGTGTGCACAGGAAAAAAAAGTCACAAGACAGAGATAAGCAATATTTTCAAGATGCAAAAAAAAAAAAAGGAAAGGAAGTTGACTGCCAGCAAGTATGTAGTCTCCTCATTAAACTGTATACTAGCTTAACTTTCCCCCTTTTCAGAGTGCTTCGAGTACCTGGATCGGGAGGCCCTTCAGACAGTCACTCACGCCCTTGTGACCTCAAGACTGGATTATTGTAATGCGTTCTACATGGGGCTGCCCTTGAAGAGTGTTCGAAGACTCCAGCTGGTCCAGAATGCAGCCGC